ACACACACACACACACACACACACACAGACTGACAGTGAGAGACGTGCCAACAATACAGGGCAGCTTACTCCTTTGTCCGCTCTTCCAGCCCGTCGACAGACTCCGCCTCAGGCCTGTTTGGTTTGGTTTCTTATTTATTGTCTAGCTCCCACTGGCAAAAATTGCAGGCAAACGAGGGAGGGGTAGGCTCAGAGCAACCAAACGGAACGTAAACAAATGGGTGACGGGGAAAGATCAGGGAAATGTAAGTTTTTTAATAGCATCCGAGCAAAGGAATGAATGGAGAACCATGATCGCCGATGTCTGTCGCAGATCTGGCACTGGATGAGTTATTGTTTTGTTTTGTTTCTTGTTCTCCCCCCCCCCTTTATTTGTTTCGTGTCTTGTCTCTCCAATTGTTCGTCTTGTTTTGTCGGGCTCGGGGGTTCGAGCCTCAGTTTGGCCCGACGTTGTGTCTTTGGGAAAGACACTTTACACGAACTTCCCACTTGGCTCGGTCCTTTCGGAGATAGACGTTAAACCAGGAGGTTCCGCCTCCCCCCCACACACCAACTAACCCCCCCCTCTCCCCCCTCTCTCTCCCCCAGCTACAAGCTCCCCGACCCCCCTACAGACTCAGTAATCCCCCACCAGTACGGCCCGCCCGGCAGTGCCCAGTGTATGATATATGTCACTAACCCCCCCCATACACACATACACTCACACATACACACACATACACACACACATACACACACATACACTCACACATACACACATACACACACACACTCACACACACATACACACACAAACACACACATACACACATACACACACACGCCCACACATACACACATACACACATACACACACACACACACACACACACACACACACACACACACACACACACATACACACACGACACATCTGCAGCAGACCAAAGGAATTTCCAAACATCATTCCCGAAACAGAAATAGGCCACGAGTACGCATGTTGTTGAATGCCTTATATAGTTTTGGGATTTAAAAAAACTGCTGCTTTTTCTTTCCTCATTCTTACTATCGTCATTTTTTCTCTACTTCTTTTGTATGTTTGTCACACTCTTGTGACCCGCTATTTTCGGGGTGCCTTGATAGTCGAAGCAGACTTTGTGCTGTTGAGGCTAGAGAGGTGAGCAGAGTAAGTCTGATTCCCTGTTAGGGCTTCTCTGTTGACATTCACCCCTTGGCGCTCATAATATGGCCTTATGCAGTTTGGAGCGCCGTAAAACCTTACTAAAACTAACTAAACCAACCCTTGGCGCTCATATGACATTATGCAGTTGCGAGCGCCGAAAAATTGTGTAAAAACTTCTCTGTTGACATCCACCCCTTGGCGCTCATATGTCCTTATGCAGTTGCAAGCGCCGTAAAACCTTACTAAAACTAAACTAATGATACAGAAAAAAAGTGAATAATCATACTGAAAAAGAAGTTCTGCTTCCAAACAGCGCGAGTTCAAGTGTTGTCCACTGACCACATAGCGCGTCCTCAAACCCCAAGAGTTCGGGAGGTGGATAGTGGATGAAGTAGCTACTATTACTACTATACCCTACCATAGGGTATATTATCTTTGGACACAGTAGGCTACAGACTTGTTGTGAGAGAAAATATACGTACCCGGTGAGGTGAGATCAGAGTGATAAGGTTTGGGGAGGAGGGGAGGGGAGGGAAGAGAGAGAGAGAGAGAGAGAGAGAGAGAGAGTGAGAGAGAGGGTGAGAGAGATAGATAGATAGAGAGAGAGAGAGAGAGA